GTTGTGGGGGGGGGGGAGATTGCCAAGAAACTGCTTGCCTTTCTAAGAACCAGACTGTCTGGCATATATAGTAGGGATATTTCTCTTTTCGTCCAAATTTTCAGTGACTTAATAGGCAATGATGGAACTAAGTATAATTATGATTTATGAAATGAAGGAAACTAAAACCTGTTTTTTTTATTGCACTCTGGCAAGATTGCTGGTGTTTTTTTTTTTTCCCCCTCATTAGCCTATAAGATGACAGATAAATCTGTTAAACTTCTCCTTTAATTTAATATACAAATGTCACTATATCCCTATGTGCATCAACAGTACAAAGAGGCACAGCATCCAGCTCTCACAGAGCCACCCCTAAGTCTCTCATGTATGGTAATTCTGGAGCACCCCTGGCTATATGCTTCTTAAGTTTTTGATTCTCAGATATTTCTTTTCCAAACTAGGAGACCTGGTCTGAGACTGGGCCGTGGGGAAGATATTCCTCAGAATTGCTTAACAAATAACGTAAGTGTTAGCTCATTAATAGTCAGAAACTGTCAAAGAGTGCTATATGAGTAGGGCTTTGCAACTGGAGGAGATAATAACTAGAACAGAGTATACTACTGACTCCGGCCATACAATAGAGCGGAAAAATAATGTAAGGGACCTGGGAGTAGTAATGTCTGAGGATCTCACTTTCAAGGATCACAACAGTGCCACGATCGCACGTGCAAAGAAAATGATAGGATGGATAATGAGAACTTTCAAAACGAGAGATGCCAAGCCCATGATGATCCTTTTCAAATCACTTGTTCTCTCTAGGCTAGAATACTGCTGTACATTAACATCTCCATTCAAAGCAGGTGAAATCGCAGATCTAGAGAGTGTACAGAGATCCTCTACTGCACGTATAAGTTCTGTCAAGCACCTTAACTACTGGGAACGCTTGGAAGCACTTGACTTGTACTCGTTGGAACGCAGGAGGGAGAGATATATCATAATCTACACTTGGAAAATCTTGGAAGGAATGGTCCCAAATCTGCACACAGAAATCACTCCCTACGAAAGTAAGACTGGGCAGGCGATGCAAAATGCCCCCAATAAAAAGTAGGGGCGCCATTGGTACACTAAGAGAAAACACCATAAGTGTCCGGGGCCCAAAACTGTTCAACAGCCTCCCATCAAGCATTAGGGGAATTGCCAATAAACCCCTGGCTGCCTTCAAGAGAGAGCTGGACAGATACCTCAAGTCAGTGCCGGATCATCCGGGCTGTGGCTCGTACGTTGGACTGCGTGCGGCCAGCAGTAACAGCCTAGTTGATCAGGCCCTGATCCATCGGGAGGCCTGGTCATGGACCGGGCCGCGGGGGCGTTGATCCCCGGAATAACCTCCAGGTAAGTCGCAAATCAACCCTTCATGGGCAGTTAAGAGAGGACAGGGATTCACAAAAGGGGGGTCCAGGAGCCGAGACCACAATAGCAAGAACAAAGATCAGACCCCCTGCAATCACAACTAGACTAGTACAAGTGTACGGCGAGTGAGAGTGAGGATACGTTGCCAGCCATCAACAAGGGTACAAACTTAACGTAAATGCCTGCTTGGGCAGCCCACATAACGTTCCATTTGGCTTTACTCTCAGGACAGTACATCAACTTGATTTTCATATTGTTTGAAAGAATTATAGCTAGGTGGAGCATCATTGTGTGCTTGTGTAAAGGGGGGGGGGTATGTATACATGTATATAAATTTATGTATTCCCACTTTATCGGTGGACTGGAACACAGCAAGTCGAAAAATAAGCCAGAAGCTCTACTATGAGCATCCCTGTGAATGAGATCATCCAACATAGTCACACATCGTAGACCTTTTGAATGCTAACATAGCCACCAACTGTGACTTTTGAGAGATCTCATCCCATCCCACTGTTCTGAGTATAGCTCCTGTCCTTCCCCCTCCCCGTCATTGAATTTGTCAATAAACATTATTTTGAGCTAGTAACAGCTAGCAAGAGCAAATCAACAGGAGGAAACCAGGAAAAAGATTACACAAACACAGGACACGGAAATGGTAAAGAACAAATCGCAGGAAATTGGACGGTATAAGAGAGACCATCGCAGACGGTCATAAAGCAGAGAATTATGTAAACATTATGCAGTGGAAACATGCGGATATGAAAGCCAATGTAGATATCAACACCTCTGGAAATGCATGAATATGCTAAGAGGTCACTGCTGCTTCGAAGGCGTGTTGGTTCTAGCATTGCTCAGCCATTTACTCATTACTTCAAACTTATAAATATTTCAATTTCATTGTTTTAAATTGTGGTAAATTGTAATACTGTACTGCACGGTAATTGCATTATTAATCTTAAGTAGTTTAAAGTTTACCGGAAATGCTCTGCATATAAAGGGGCTTCTGGCATGTTCGCCAAATTGTTACATTCCTTTGTAGAAACATGTACGATGCTAAAATAAACTTGTCATTGTCACCCAGATTTGAGAGTTCACTCGGGGAAATGCAACCTGCTCAGATTTTCCAGTAAAAGGCAAGAATTGATATAGATGTAAATAAAAAGGAAAGATAGCTTGGTAATTTCCAAAAAAAAAATGAGTCCAGATAAACTAATTCAGAAGAAAAAAAATCAGGAAAGACAAGTTAAGATTATAAATAGCAGTATCTCCCGAAGCTGTAATTAATACTGTAAAGCGGATGAAGAGAGTACTGAAACTGTTCCTCAGCACCAGGTAGAAGAATTAGTACATGGAATAAGAGCACACCGTGTACCATAGCACGGTGCAGTTATTACATAGAGCAAGAATACTCTCATTTTGTACTTAACAAGGTAGAAGCATTACTACATAAAACAAGTATACCTTGTACCTCAGCCTGGCTGATCAGGTTCAAACCCTGCGATATGATGGCTCAGGACCGACTGAAACTCCGTCTCAAGTTTCCCTTCGAAGTGTGGTTTATTTGCGAGAAGACTGAAGCTGAAATAAACTCTTAAGAACAGTCTGTCAGACTGGTGACATATCATATCCATATGTTGTGATGACTTGTTTCAAGTTAGTCATTTGATAGGAAAATAATGGTTGATAGTGATGTCTTGAAGGGTAAAGTCAAGGTGAAACTTAATGGCTGCACGTCTCGTGGTGGCATAGCTGTCTGTTGGTTGTCAGTTTGGCCAAGTAATACAATAACAGATATTAGACATCTCTGGTACTGAAGGTTCTACTAAATATATATAATATATATATATGTATATATATATAATATATATATAATGTAAACACTGATCTCTGGCTGAAGGAGACTCGAACCTACGAACCTTAGGACAAGGTACGCAGTGCTTTACCAATCTACCCACACTGGACCAATACCTTGGCGTGTAGCATGCGCTACACGTTTGATCCAAGGCAGCCAGCTTTCAGGGAGAAGGCTTACAGCTTTTCATCTCATCCCCTGCATGCATCAGCCTTACTAGAGATTTGAACAATGCAAGGAATTCGCGAGAGCATGCGAAATATACACAAACACTGATCTCTGGCTGAAGGAGACTCGAACCTACGAGTCTACGAGTATGTATGTATATATGTCGTCCCGAATAGGCAGAACTTGCGATCTTGGCTTAAATAGCAACGTTCATCTTGCCATATAGGACAAGTGAAACTTTGTGTATGCAGTAATTTCGCCAAAATCATTCTGAACCCAATGAAAAAAATATATTTCACTGTGTTAGTTTAGTATTAAATTATTGTAAACAAATCTAAAATATATTTAGTTGGGTTAGGCTAAAATAAATTGTTCTTGTTATAATAAGGTTAGGTAAGTTTTCTAAGTTCCTTTTAGTGCAAAATTATAAATTTTTACATCAACATTAACGAAAAAAATATATCTTTAAACGTATAAGAGAAAATTTTTGAAAGGACTTAATTTTAAATTAGTTCTTGCTAATTGACCAGTTTTACATATTCGGCACGACATTATATATATATATATATATATATATATATATATATATATATATATATATTTATATATTTATTATTATTATTATTATTATTATTATTATTATTATTATATGGGAAGATATAGCTATTTTCCTCCCTTTTATCTACGAAAATATATGGAAATTGACAGGAAAACACATTATGTAAATGATATTTAAAACACATAAATGAGTAAAATGTCGAACAGTTTTGTATCTTTGTCGAAATGTTTTGCCCAGTTTTATTTTTTTTAGTTGAATACAGAAGAGACAGCAGTAGTGGAGATGTAAAGATGTAATGAGTCCATCACTCAAGAGTAGTTTTGAGGTCATTCTCTCAGTTTGGAGAGGAGTTCAGTTCTATAGTCTGTAACAATGTGAAGCTTAAGCCTGAGACCGGAGACTTGTATACTGTCAAAGGCAATACGCAGAAAATCTTGAAAACTGCAGAAAAGGTGGGGGTCCACTAGTAGAAGCAAGAACGCAAGAATTGAGAGGCACTAGTTAAGAGTTAGAAAATTGGATTTGAGAGGGACCTGCTTAGCATGGGCCAGTAGGCTTGCTACAGTGCTGTTCAATTCTTACATTATTGTTTCTGTTAGTGGGCCTCACATCTTCCGTCATAAAGATTTTCTACGTCTCACTTTTGACAGTACAAATCTCCATTCTCGGGCTTCGGCTTCAGATTACTCAAGCCTATAGAGCTGAAGCCTTTTCCAGGCTGAAGACCTCAAAATTACTGCCTTGAGTGTGACTGGCTGATTACATTGTAAATACATCTCTACTGCTACTGCCTCTGTATTTGACTGAATAAACCTACTGTGTAGATGAAACATTTGGACATTTGGGGCCAAACTGTTGCACACGTCTTCCTCATCTATCGGGAAAGCATAGCCATCTTTACTCTTACATAACGAAACCCATCCTGTGTAGTGGAACGTTAGTTTAAATAACGTTTGTACCAGTTAACAGTTACATAATAAGTTAGCATTGCTAATGTACCTAGCTTTAAAATAATTTTCTAATTTATTTCAGGTGTTGATGACATGAGGCGGACGCTGTAGCAGCAACAGCAGCCGTGAAGCTTGGAGGATGTGGTCGGGCATGTGGGCGGTGTGGGTGGCTGCGATGGTGGGCGTGACGGTGTGGACGCCCACGGTCGCTGCCCTCTCCGGTCCCAACGTGTGCACCAAACAAGAGACGTAAGTGTCCAGCCCAGACGGTTGTGTTGCCTCGTACTGATGAATCCCCCCCCCCCCCACACACACACACACACACACCACCCCACGCACGCACGCACGCACGCACGAGAGAAGATTGGTGGAACATCTAGAAAGGAATGATCTCATCAACAGCAGCCAACATGGTTTCAGGGACGGGAAATCCTGTCACAAACCTATTGGAGTTCTATGACAGGGTGACAGCAGTAAGACAAGAGAGAGAAGGGTGGGTAGATTGCATTTTCCTAGACTGTAAGAAGGCGTTTGACAGTTCCACACGAGATCGGTGCAAAAAATGGAGGACCAGGCAGGGATAACAGGGAAGGCACTACAATGGATCAGGAATGCTCGTCAGGAAGACAGCAGCGGGTCATGGTACGTGGCGAGGTGTCAGAGTGGGCACCTGTGACCAGCGGGGTCCCACAGGGGTCAGTCCTAGGACCAGTGCTGTTTCTGGTATTTGTGAACGACATGACGGAAGGAATAGACTCTGAAGTGTCCCTGTTTGCAGATGATGTGAAGTTGATGAGAAGAATTCATTCGGACGAGGACCAGGCAGAACTACATAGGGATCTGGACAGGCTGCAGACCTGGTCCAACAATTGGCTCCTGGAGTTCAACCCCACAAGTGCAAAGTCATGAAGATTAGGGAAAGGCAAAGAAGACTGCAGACGGAGTACAGTCTAGGGGGGGGGCAGATATTACAAACCTCACTCAAGGAAAAAGATCTTGGGGTGAATATAACACCAGGCACATCTCCTGAAGCGCACATCAACCAAATAACTGCTGCAGCATATGGGCGCCTAGCAAACCTCAGAACAGCATTCCGACATCTTAATAAGGATAATAAGGAATCGTTCAGGACCCTGTACACCGTGTACGTTAGGCCCATATTGGAGTATGCAGCACCAGTTTGGAACCCACACCTAGCCAAGCGCATAAAGAAACTAGAGAAAGTGCAAAGGTTTGCAACAAGACTAGTCCCAGAGCTAAGAGGTATGTCCTACGAGGAGAGGTTAAGGGACATCAACCTGACGACACTGGAGGACAGGAGAGATAGGGGGGACATGATAACGACATATAAAATACTGAGAGGGATTGACGAGGTGGACAAAGACAGAATGCTCCAGAGATAGGACACAGCAACAAGGGGACACAGTTGGAAGCCGAAGACACAGATGAATCACAGGGATGTTAGGAAGTATTACTTCAGCCACAGAGTAGTCAAGAAGTGGAATAGTTTGGGAAGCGATGTAGTGGAGGCAGGGACCATACATGGCTTTAAGCAGAGGTATGATAGAGCTTTTGATTCAGGGAGAGTGACCTAGTAGCGACCAGTGAAGAGGCGGGGCCAGGAGCTATGACTCGACCCCTGCAACCACAACTAGGTGAGACCACACACACACACACACACACACACCACACACACACACCACACCCCACACACACACACACACACACACAACACACACACACACACACACACACACACACACACCCCACACACACCACACAACACACCCCACACACACACACCCCACACACACACCACACACCCCCCCACACACCCCCACACACCCCCACACACCCCCACCCCCCCACACACCCCCACACACACCCACACACACACCCACACACACACACACACACCCACACACACACCCACACACACACCCACACACACACCCACACACACACACACACACACACACACACACACACACACACACACACACACACACACACACAGGGGAAACTTATGATGAAAGAAAGCAGGAGGAGAAAAAAGCGATTGAAGATATGAAGGTGATAGGCGAGGGGGACATGACCCAGGTAGCAAATTTTCGGAGAATTGGGTGGTTCACAAAGAAAAGGAATCGGCCTCTCAATGTAATTTTCAAGGCAGAATCAACCCGAACCATGATCCTGCAGGAGAAAGCACGGCTGAGAGGCAAGCAGGAGTTCCGGATTGTGTACCTCGATCGAGACAGAACACAGGACGAAAGAAAGACGATGAAAGAGAGAGTTCAAAAACGAAAGGAGAAATGGGAGGAAATGAAAAAGGAGAGCAGAATAACCCAGGATCAAATGGAAGGACAAACACACCCCCAGAAACGCCTGCAGAAGGACTACAGCCACGAGACCACCAAGGCAACTGAACAATCCAAACCAACCATCACACACCGATCCCCCTGTTCCCACCCCCCGCACCACAGTTACAGTATTAGAACAGAAGTTGAAGGTTTGGTACACAAATGCAGATGGATTAACGAATAAACATGAGGAATGGCAAGAAAGAATCAATGAGAAGTCCCCAGACATCATAGCAGTTACAGAAACAAAACTCACGGAGACAATAACAGATGCAGTCTTCCCACCAGGATACCAGATCATGAGGAAAGATAGAAGGGGCAGGGGGGGAGGTAGGGTTGCTCTGCTCGTAAAAAACAGATGGAAATTCGAGAAAATGGAAGGCATAAATGAGACGGGAGAGACTACATAGTAGGTACACTTCAGTCTGGGGAACACAGTGATCATTGCAGTGATGTATAATCCACCACAGAACTGCAGGAGGCCAAGAGAGGAATATGAAGAGAGCAACAGAGCAATGGTGGACACACTTGCTGAGGTGGCAAGAAGAGCTCACTCCAGCAGAGCGAAGTTGCTGGTTATGGGGGATTTCAACCACAGGGAGATTGACTGGGAAAACCTGGAGCCACATGGGGGTCCCGAAACATGGAGATCCAGGATGTTGGACGTGTGGCTGGAAAACCTCATGCACCAACATGTTAAGGACACTACCAGAGTGAGAGGGGAGGATGAACCAGCAAGATTGGACCTTGTGTTCACCCTGGGCAGCTCAGACATTGAGGACATCAAGTATGAGAGTCCCCTAGGAGCTAGCGAGCACATGGTTCTGTGCTTTGAATACATAGTAGAGCTGCAAGTGGAGAGAATAAGGAGTTGAATGGGAAAAGCCTGACTATAAAAGAGGGGACTACATAGGGTTGAAGAACTTCCTGCGGGAGGTCCAGTGGGACAGAGAACTGGCAGGAAAGCCAGTAAATGAAATGATGGAATATGTAACAACAAAATGCAAGGAGGCAGTGGAAAGGTTTATTCCCATGGGCAACAGTAACAACGGGAAGACCAGAACAAGCCCCTGGTTTACCCGACCGTGTAAGGAGGCAAAAAACAAAGTGCAATAGAAAATGGAAAAAGTACAGAAGGCAGAGAACACACGAAAATAGGGAGATCAGTCACAGAGCCAGGAATGAGTATGCACAGGTAAGGAGGGAGGCCCAGCGACAGTATGAAAACGACGTAGCATCGAGAATCAAGACTGACCCGAAACTGTTGTATAGCCACATCAGGAGGAAGACAACAGTCAAAGACCAGGTGATCAGATTAAGGACAGAAGGTGGAGAACTCACAAGAAATGATCAGGAGGTATGTGAGGAGCTGAACAGGAGATTTAAGGAAGTTTTTACAGTAGAGACAGGAAGGGCTGTGGGAAGACAGAACAGAAGGGAACATCAAGAGGGAATATACCAACAAGTGTTGGATGACATACTAACAACTGAGGAGGTGGTGAAGAAGCTCCTAAGTGACCTTGACACCTCAAAGGCGATGGGACCGGACAACATCTCCCCATGGGTCCTTAGAGAAGGAGCAGAGATGCTGTGCGTGCCTCTAACCACAATCTTCAACACATCCCTTGAAACTGGGCAACTACCTGAGAAATGAAAGACAGCTAATGTAGTCCCCATATTTAAGAAAGGAAACAGAAACGAGGCGCTAAACTACAGACCTGTGTCTGACATGTATTGTGTGCAAAGTCATGGAGAAGATAATCAGGAGGAGTGGTCGAACACCTGGAAAGGAACAAGATTATAAATGAAAACCAGCATGGGTTCATGGAAGGCAAATCTTGTATCACAAACCTCCTGGAGTTTTATGACAAGGTAACAGAAGTAAGACACGAGAGAGAGGGGTGGGTAGATTGCATTTTCCTAGACTGCAGGAAGGCCTTTGACACAGTTCCCCCACAAGAGATTAGTGCAGAAGCTGGAGGATCAGGCGCATGTAACAGGGAGGGCACTGCAATGGATCAGAGAATACCTGACAGGGAGGCAGCAACGAGTCATGGTACGTGAAGAGGTATCACAGTGGGCGCCTGTGACGAGCGGAGTCCCACAGGGGTCAGTTCTAGGACCAGTGCTATTTTTGATATATGTGAACGACATGATGGAAGGAATAGACCCTGAAGTGTCCCTGTTCGCAGATGATGTGAAGTTGATGAGAAGAATTAAATCGGATGAGGATGAGGCAGGACTGCAAAGAGACCTGGACATGTGGTCCAGTAACTGGCTTCTTGAATTCAATCCAGCCAAATGCAAAGTCATGAAGATTGGGGGAGGGCAAAGAAGACCGCAGACAGAGTATAGGCTAGGTGGACAAAGACTACAGACCTCACTCAGGGAGAAAGACCTTGGGGTGACAATAACACCGAGCACATCACCGGAGGCACACATCAACCAAATAACTGCTGCAGCATATGGGTGCCTGGCAAACCTGAGAATAGCGTTCCGATACCCTAATAAGGAATCGTTCAAGACACTGTACACTGTGTATGTTAGGCCCATACTGGAGTATGCAGCACCAGTCTGGAACCCACACCTGGTCAAGCACGTCAAGAAGTTAGAGAAAGTACGAAGGTTTGCAACAAGGCTAGTCCCGAGAGCTCGGGGGAATTTCGTACGAGGAAAGGTTGAGGGAGATAGGACTGACGACACTGGAAGGACAGAAGTGCCCAGGGGAGACATGTAACGACATCCAGTACTGCGGGAATAGACAAGGTGGACAGAGACAGGAAGTTTCGAGAGGGGACACAGGGACAAGGGTCACAACTGAAAAGCTGAAGACTCAGAGTGAGTCACAGGACTTTAGGAAGTATTTCTTCAGAGTTGTCAGAAGTACAG